ATTTAATCGATTATTAGCATATTGTGTTAAAACAAAATTTTGACAAATAATCAATTAAGTGACCACATAATCAATTATTAGTACGTCTTATGAAAACTTAATTTTAAGTCATATAATCGATGAATCCTTTATTTAATCGATTGTTAGCGCTTCAGTTTTAACATTGATTATTTTTACTTTTAAAGTTTAGATTATTTTGACTTTATACAAAATAACTATACTAACTACCTATTTATCATTTGACATCACAAAAAAAAAATTTAAATATTTTCCCTCTTCATCAACAAAAATAAGCATATTTACATTCAAAATATTCATCTTCTTCATTTTGTAAGTTGATTAGTTTTGCTCAATTTTATTCTTCAAACCTTTTTCCTTATTTTAATATATATTTCGACATTTCATTTTAAAAATTAAAGAGGATCCGTGACTTTAAGTGAAAACAGACAAAAAGAAATATTTATTGATGTATTTACTTTTGGATTTAGAGTTGATGTTATCAATCCATAAAGTTTTCTCTGCATGAATGTGACCAGGAATCAAATGTCATTATACAGAGATGGATTATTATATGATTGTTTAGTTACCTGTGTAGAGACAAATATTTTTCAGAGTTGAAAATGACAAAACAAAACCATTTATTATTTTTCAGAATATGAAAACTAGTAGAGAACAATTGTGGCGTATATTTCAAAAGCTATCATGTTTTACTTTTAATATTTCAAGTTTATACATGGATATTGTCCCACCACTTAAATTTATGATCCGTATATGACTAGTTCAAATATTCATAAAAAGTAATAATTTTGATTAATAATAATTACTCATTAATCTCAATGATAACTCTATTCGATGATAAATTTAGTAAAATATTTATTCTATATGTGTATTTGAACAAATTTAATTTAAAAGCTAAAAGTACTTACAAGATTTTAAAATTAAAATTAAAAATTATGATATATAACTAATCATTTTACTTATAAATGATGAAAATAATACAATTGAGAAAGAAAAAGAACGATGTCACAAGTGATGGCATTTAATATTTTTCATTAAACACTATTTTTTTTAACAATAGTCATAATACAATGAATAAGATAAATATTTATTCCAATACGGATAATAACATTGTGATAAGAAAATTGTTTGAAATTTTATTTAAAGTTAAATAAAAAAATGTACTTTTACACTAAACTGAGTTGATTGATACAAACATTATTAAATCAAATGGGAAGAGGGAAACTATTATATTAACAATTGTTCTTGATTAATAATTAATGAATGTGTAAAAGAGAATTTTCAAAATATTCAATGAAAATATGTATAGTTTCATGTGTTCAAGTATGGAGAGGAATTAAGAATTTAAAACCTCCTGCATCAAAGTAATGAGCAAGAGTTAAGAAGGTATAACTTTCTTAGTGAAAAGTAACTAGGAGTAGTTAGATTCATTTATGAGCTTTAATTTTCAAATTAGTCATAAATGGTTAATTAATAGTAGTTATAAATTAATATTTTTTTATGTCTTTGGTGTTGTTTTCAAAACTTCGTTTATGCAGAAAGTTGGAGACAGGATTTAAAAAGAAAATTATATTTTCGAGGAACAAATTCTTCTAATCTCAATAAAAAAATATTTTATCACTTTCTTTTCGTATAAACATAAAAATTTGTGAAAAATAAAGATATTTAAATTTATTGAAATAATAATTATATTTTAAATGTTTTAAGAAAATTATTTTGTTTAATTCAAATAATGATAAATAATTAAATAATATATTAAATAATTATTTTTTTAGTTTTTTTCTTTATTTAAATGCTTTTATTTTTTTTACTATTTTTTTAATTTATTTATTATTAAAAAATTATTAATCAAATTAAATTTATCAACTAAAATAGTTTTATTAATTTCTTTTTTAACTTTTCTTTAATTCAAACAAACTTTTTTCTCATTTTTCACACTCAGCAAATCATCTCTCCGATCCAAATATAACATTAAAGAATTGATTTAAAATATCAAAAGAATATTCCTTAAAATATGCTTAAAATTTTTGTACTAGATTATTTTCCTATTCTTTATAACTCTTTCATCATTTTCATTATTATTTTTTATAAAGTTTGTTGTATTTTTTTTCCTCCATATGACTCTTTCAATATGTTAGATGTCTTTCTGATATTTTCATAATTGTAGTCGGAAAGGAAAAAGAAAAAAAAGAAGAAAAAAACTCTTTACATTTCAAACATAAATATATTGAATGAGTATAATAAACTTTTGTTGAAAATATAGTTGGACAAGTTTTTTTTTTTTTTTTATCACGAGGTGGAAAAATTACTTAAAGTGTTTATTCTTAGTATTTTATAACTAAAGGTTTTAATGTGCACGATTAGGGTAATATTATTTTTGTATAAAAAAGATGAACTACAAAAGAAGTCATTGTTGAAATGGACTCAGGTAATAGACATGACATTCAACTAACTTTTTACACACTTATGATGATAGAATGTAGAAATGGAACAACATACATCATACATTTTCTTATTCTTCATATGGTGAAAAAAACATAATTTATGACCATTTATTTAGACAATTACAATTCACTCATTACAATAAATGATGTGATGTGATATTAAATAATATTATGATATTTGAAATTTTAATCATCATATCAAATAATTATTATATCAGTTTAATTTTTAACTGTTATACCAGCTAATTTTTTACGTTTGTTTTTCTTTTAACCCTCATAAAAAAATATTTATTGAGACGGTTAAAACTTCAATAAACATAAAAAGTTTCTCTAGGTTAAAAATAAGATTTCATTCTATAATAGTTGATTATTAGTTTAATTTTAGATGAATCGAAAATCCTCACTTATTATATATATATATATATATATATATATATATATATATATATATATATATATATACATTTTTTATTAAATTTTTAAGAGATTGTATTTCAAATATGTTTTTGTGAAGTCATAATATACTACAATATTAAATAAAGTAAGTTTTCCATGAAATTTATAAAATCTAACTTAAAAAAAATTATATTTTATGATATTTAATTGTGTCTGCTTAGTTATTTTTCCGTTCATAATTTTGTTGATCAACTTTTATACTTTCATGTTGTTTTAAATTTTAGATAAAGGAATTAGCATTAATAATTCTTGTATCGAATTACTAAGAATAATATTAATATTACCTATAAAGTTAACACAAAAAAGTCCTCTGTCTAATTTATGTGTGTTTTCAATATTTGATCTTTGATATTTTTTAGGTGTATTTGAACTCCATTCTCTTGGTCATCGTTTCTCTTAACGTATAGTTTTTTTTTTTTTTTTTTCAAAATCTCAAGTGAATAGGAAATCTCTCACGACTAATAATAATAAAAAAAAATTAGGATACCAATAAAATAATTTTACTCTCGTCTTCTCAATAATTTTTTTCTCTATTTTATTGGATGTTCTTTAAGAAATTATTTATTGAATGATATATAAATTATTATTAATAATCCTATATCTCATTTAATCCTACAAATTTAATTTAATAAAATAAAAATTGAATATATATATATATATATATATATATATATAATACAAATTTTGATGATATATATATATATATATATTTTATCATAAATATTTTTAATATAATGAAAATTTTATCATTTGTATAAATTATTTAAATTGTAAATGATATAAAAATATCACATATTTATATAATTAATTATAATAATAAAATTTGTATATATTATATTTTTTTAATAAATGAGTTATAGTTCATATTTTTAAAATTGGATCGTGAAAAAAATATAGATTTAAGATTTAAAAATTTAATCAAATTTAACCAAACTTAATAAAATAATATTTATAACATAAATGACATAATAAATTTGATAATAATAATATTTAAAATAATTATTATTATATCACTCTAAATTAGAATGAAAATTATAAATATAATATATATTAAAAAATATAAGATAAATAATTATTAAAATATAATAAAAATATATTAAAATAATTATTATTTAAAATTAATATAATTAATATGAAATAAAAAAATATATTATATTTTTATAACAAAATAATATTTAAAAAAATAATCTTACTACTTTTTATTAAATCTGATTCGATAATAAATCTAATTTTTTTTTTTGAATTCTATTAATTTTCGATTAAATCAATTGAATAAACTCGTCCGGTCCGATGAAAAATTAATTTTTTTAATATAAAAAAAGAAGTAATGTTCGAAGAGATAACAGATACAATAAATTGCCGAACATTAACCCAATGGATGAAGAAGTGGAACAGAGCTTTTGAAATTTGCTCTTTTCCACGTATCCAAACATTGGCGCAGAAGAAACAGGGCACAGTATAGCTGTACACCTACCCATTTTAAATTCGATGGATAACATTATTGCAGGCCTCCCTCTCAATGCATTGGCCCAAAATCTATCCTCTTCTATCTTCTCCTCCTCATTTTCAATTATTCAAATATTTAATCAAAACGTTACTCTATTTAATCAAACCAATCACACATTCTCAAAATTTAACTTACTGTTAATAATATAAATTACTCAATAATCTCAATCTTACATCCGTATTTGTTGTACAATATTTATAGGTCATGAAAATAATTTTAAAACTGTTGGCAGAATTAAAATTGGAAATGAATAATAGATTTAAACCAAATAGGGTTTAACGAGGGTAGAAAGGGAAGCGAATGCGAAAGGGTAGGGGTTAGGGATGAATTAATAAAAATAAATAAATAAAGAATGTAAGAAAAGAAAAAACAGAAAGGGAGGGAAACGGGAAAACGAAAAATATTGGAGAGTGTGATTCCCTCGCAGGGGAAAATAGAAAATAGAAAATAGAAAATGGATATTCCATTCTCCTATAAAAGGAGAAGAAGACGATGACCAAAACACTCTCTCACTCAAACAAACACACACTTTCTCTCTCTAACACACACACACACTCTGCATTTGCATTGTTGGTATGGAAGAGAAGCCGGAGCTGTCTTGTGACGCGGAAGGCGTATGCCTGTGCTGCAAACAGACCCCTCCTCCCTCGGAGCTCCTCCCCTGCCACACCTGCGAAGCTAAGTGGCACCTTCCTTGCCTCCCCTCGCCCCCTGTCTCCAGCTCCGACTCCCATTGGGACTGTCCTGATTGCACCGGCCTTTCCTGCCAAAAAGCGGTTCCGGAGTCTACCATTGTCTCCGCTATCCGCACTGTTCATGCCGACTCTTCTCTCACTGAAAAGCAAAAGGCCAGAAAGTGCCAAGAACTGGTGGGCGGGGTGCCCCAGCCTTCCGAGGATGAAAATCATGAAAATATCTTTGATGGAACCTTGAATTGTACTATCTGCAACCAACTACCAGATAGACCAGTGACGGTTGGTTCATCTCTTCTCCTTAACCAATAAATTTTGTTTCTTTTTTCATCTGATATTAGATTTGATTTTTAAGTGTGTGTCTTTTGTCGCCCGTGATTCAGACACCTTGTGGACATAACTTCTGTTTGAAATGCTTTGCGAGAGCGATTGCTCAGAATAATAATAAGGGTACAAAACCTTCTTGTCCAAATTGTCGCGGTGAAATATCTGTCAAGATGGCGATGCAACCGAGAATCAACTATCAGTTGGCTGCGGCTATTCGATTGGGTAAGACTGCCAGGTCCAAAAGGTATTCTGTGGATTCATCGACCAAAGTGTATAATTCTATGCGGAATCAGGATCGGCCAGACACTGCTTTTACCACTCATCGGGCTAAAAAGACAGGAAAAGCCAATGCTTGCAGCGGTAGAATTTTTGTTACAGTGTCTGCTGACCACTTTGGACCTATTCCACCAGAAAATGATCCCATTAGAAACCGAGGTGTTTTGGTTGGTGACGCGTGGCATGACAGAATGGACTGTCGGCAGTGGGGTGCTCATTTTCCTCACGTTGCTGGTATTGCTGGACAGGGTAGTTATGGTGCCCAATCTGTTGTCCTCTCTGGTGGGTACGAGGATGATGAGGACCATGGTGACTGGTTCCTTTACACTGGCAGTGGTGGGAGGGATCTAAGTGGAAACAAACGCACCAGTAAGGTTCAATCCTTTGACCAGCAGTTTGAAACCTTTAATGAGGCCTTGAGAGTAAGTTGCTTAAAGGGTTATCCTGTTAGGGTTATCAGGTCAGCTTTCTCAACTATATCTTTTAATTCAATATATTGCTAGATCCAATGAATGAATGAATGATACATAATTTTTAGCGTACTCATTATTACTTATATTATTAGACGGTCTATCAAATGTATAATAAGTTTTATGATAATATTTAGATGTTAGGGTTCAATATTTAATATTTAATATTTACTGTATATTGAGTTTATATTATTTATATTTAATATTTAGGGTTTAGGAAATATTATATTGAATATAAGGTGTAAGAAACATAGTTTATGATTTATTGAACATGATCTAGGGTTATGTTTAAAAGTTGAAATTTAAGTTGTAGGGTTATGTGTTTAGGATTTAACTTAATTACATAGTGCTTTTTACCTGTCAACTTGGCATATGCTAAATTAAATACAACATACATTACAGATATTGCGGTGTCCCATGTACTAAACTATTTTATTCTTGTCAGGTCACATAAGGAAAGGCGTTCCTCTTATGCACCCCAAAGTGGGTTGCGTTATGATGGGGTTTATAGAATAGAGAAATGCTGGCGTAAAGTTGGAATACAAGTAAGATGCTTGTAATATTAGTCATGATCTTTTTTTTTTTTTTCTGGATATTTTTCCTCTATACATTTTGATTCTTGGAGAGGCTTTGTTCTGTGACAGGGCTTCAAGGTCTGTAGGTATTTGTTTGTGAGATGTGACAATGAGCCAGCACCGTGGACAAGGTTTGTTGGTTCTTTCTATGCATTCGTTTGTGTGTGTACTAGTGTGTTTGACTTTTTTTGTTGCTGAGCAGTGATGAATGTGGAGACGGCCCATGCGAGCTGCTGCCAATGGTTGATGAGGTGGAGGACGCAACTGATATAACTGAAAGGAGGGACAAACCATCGTGGGATTATGATGTAAGTGCTGTTCTTGCTATACTTCTATTTGTTGTTGTGTTCCACCTTCTTCTATATAATTTGAATGGTCTCACTAAGTGCTTTTGGTGTAATTCAGGAAGTTCAGAACTGCTGGCTGTGGAAGAAGCCTCCCCCAGAAAGCAGGAAACCAATTGACATTGGATCTGGAGAAGGAACATCATCCAGAGGCAAACGGAAAGCAAAAAAGGCGTCTGTGCAAAAAAAGCTATTGAAAGGTATACTGCGTAGAGATGCTCAAACAATCTATCCTGCATAGATGACTTATTGCTTTTTGATACTTAGTCTCAAGTCATTTTTATTTGTGTTTTAAAGTCATTCTAAAATCTGAACATTTCCAGAGTTTGGTTGCCAATTATGCCGCAAGGTGTTGTCTTTCCCTCTTACTACACCCTGTGCTCACAACTTCTGCAAAGCCTGTTTGGAGCTTGCCTTTAAAGACCAAAGTTTCATCAGGAATAGGGCATCTGGCGGTCGCTCACTAAGGGTACAAAAGACTGTTATGAAATGTCCATCATGTTCAAGTAACATTGCTGATTTTCTTCAGAATCCACAGGTATTGCAAAATGCCATTTTATCTTATATTTGAACCAACTATGCATCCGGTCTCTTATTTGTACTTTTCCTTGTATTCCTGATTTATCTTGAAATGCCTATGCCCTTGATGGCTTCAGTTCACTTTATTTTGAACTTGAGTGATTGTTGCAAATATTGCTCGTACTGGATTAATCTATTAATTCTGTAATTATTAATTCGCCGTATCCGAATGTTTTATACTCATTGATTTTGGCATTTCTTGTCTTTTATTACAGGTTAACAGAGAAATGCTGGCTGTCATAGAGTCTTTACAACGCCAGACTGAAGAAGCTAATTCTGAAGAGTTAAATGATAACAATGATGAAAATCTGGTTGATGATGATGATGCATCGGATGTTTCTCTGGATGATGCATCGGATGTTTCTCTGGATGATGCATCAGATGTCTCTCTGGATGATGCAACAGAGGTTTCAAAACCTTCTGATTCTATTGATAAGGTTCTGGAGGAACTTAAGGACAATGATCTGAATCAGCAGTATAAGCGAAGGAAGGAGTGAAGGACGGCTTTTAGTTAGTTATTTTGGTACTTTGGATTATGCATTTTTATTAGTTTTAAGGGACGAACTGGTGTTGTTGTTTTTTAATTGCTAGCATGAATTGCTAGATATGAACTTGTATGAGTTTTTCATTTACTTTTCCTTGTGTTGATGCTTTGAGGTTCATGCGACATATGATTGGAATCTCCTTTGTGTGTGGATTTCATGTTCCTTAGGAGAGAATTGATAATTGTACTGCAATGCATGCCTTAGAGAATTATGTGTTTTTATTAAAAGATGTTTTGTGAACTATTGGAATGATGTGTTTAAATTTATTGTTACTTTCTGGTGTCAGATTAGGGAAAAGATTTTATAAACATCTCATACAACTTAAAATATATATATATATATATATATATATATATATATATATATATATATATATATATATATATTTATTGATTGATGGATAAAGAATGATATAAAATAAATAATAATATAAAAATAGCAGTACTCGAAAGATTAAAAAATATGTTGAGGAGATTAAAATGTTTCATGCTATAATGCATGAGATATATGGAAAGTGTGTGGCACAATCTTTGAATATACCTTTTCACTACTTAAATCTGCTCCTATTTATTCACATCCATTATTTTGATTTTGATTTCTATAATTTATTTTTTAAAATTATTTTGTTGAAAAATAATTAATATGATCTAAATAGTCTTGTTTTCCTTCCATTAGGGTTTTGATTTATTTTTTTCTTTTAACATTTCATGTTTGATGATCATGAAATATAAAAAAGTAAAGAATTTTAAACAAATTTTTATACCTAATATTTTGATTCTTGATAATTTTTTTTATTTTGTTTTGATATTTACTATTTATATTATTTATTAAGTGATATGACCGAACAAAATTTATATGCATAATTTTGTTTTTCTGGCTTTTAATCAAATATTACATTTTGTTTTTATACTCGATAAACTTTTTTTCTCATAAATTTTTTAACATCATTTATTTACATCTTTTAAGTAATCAACCTTTGAATAGAATGTACAATTTTTTAAATAAAAAATTCATCCATCTGATGAAAATAATGTTCTTTCTTTCCATCTTTTCTTTATTTTAGCATTTTTTTTTATTTGAAGGGATCTACATTACTTTTATATATATATATATATATATATATATATATATATATATATATTGTTTTTTATAAAGAAAAAAATAAGGTAAAATATTATTTTCATTACTTTTAAATTTATAATAAATAAATGACATCCTATTTTATGGTCAATAATAAAAACTAAATAAAAGTAAAAGTATTAAAGGAGGAAAAACAATCCAAGAATTAAATTTAAAAATCGTACCATTATAACAATTTCTTTATGCATATAATTGAGTTGTTGCTTAATCAACAAGTTATTATTTGAATTAAATTTATATTAAATCAAATTAGATTATTTAAGACTTGTTTATTTATACTTTTTAAAAATAATTTATAGTTTTTAACGTTTAAAACAAAAAAATTATTTACTATAAATTTTAAAAGTTAATTAATAATTTTAAGTTTAAATATTACGTATATTGATTTATTTGATGAAATAGTATCTAGGTTAAAAAAAATCATCACCTTTCATCTCTAGAGAATTGAAGAATACCTTCAAGTGGTTAATAAAGTAAAATTACAAAGAAAGAACCTTTCAAAAGGTATATCTAGTAGAAGACGGTAACATGATAGAAAATTTGAAGAAAGTATTGAAGTTTAATCATTACATCAGAAGTTACACAGAATTTCAACCAACGTATCGTTGAACCAATCCAGCAAGTAAATTAAATCAACCAAGTAATTTGTGAACCAATAAATTTATACGTTGTGAATTGTGTGAATGGATCTCTCATGAAATTTCACACCCCTTGAGACGTGCCTACGTGTGCAAACAAAACTTACTTTATCCAATTTGTCGGCGACAAAGACATAAATACGATCTCCAGTTCTCTGTGTCCTCCTAATACGTGTAATTGTCTGTGACATAGAAGTTTTAAATCCCATGAAAGTGTTATATATTTATATAATACTCACTTCTTTTGAAATTAACAAGCATTAATAGTTGTTATTTTTAATAATTTATTATTTATTATTATTTTAATATTTTTAAATTAAAATATTATTAATAATTTTTATTTTTTTATAATTAATTAAAAAATAATTAATATAATTTTAAATTTTATAAATACTGTATATTTATAAACAAATTTTCTTTCTATAATTTCATAATTTCTATGTTTTTAAACAGAAAAAAATATATTTTTTATTTTATTATGGTTATCACATTATTTATTATATATTATATTTTGTTGCAATAAATAATATTAATTATTTTCAATAAATGTTCAAATAAAATTCTTACAAAACAAATTATTAATTTTATATTTCATATGATTAGAAATAGAGTTGACTGACTCTGGGTCATCTGATAAAGTCTCCTTTATATATATATATATATATATATATAAAGACTCAGATAATCTTGTAGTTTTTATTTTGCTTAATAAAAATTATTTTATTCTGGGATATATTTAACAGACTCAATTATTTTTCTTAATTGTGTTTTGCAGATAGAAAATATTTTTTAATAAGTATCAATTTTATTTAGAATACTACAACTAACAATATTAAGGATATTTTAAAAAAATTGATAATTTTATATCTTTAATTAGTTTCACATATATAATTTAAGTTAAATTAATTTTAATTGATGTATAAGATTTTTATTGTCTTAGTTAACACTTTTATTATATGAAAAATCTCAATAAAGAAAAATTCTTAGCTTATTCTTTAGTAGTTTAAATATGTTTTTATTTTAAATTTAAAATCTTATACATAATTCTCAATATAAAGAATTGTTTTATCTTGCTAGAACTTTTGTTTTGTTATGATTCTTACTGACGTATGATAAATGATACGAATATATAAATATATATTTACATGCCTTTAAAAATATTTCTCATTTCGATTTAATACAGTTTTATTTTTATTTGTATTTCTATTATTGATTAATATTCTTTAATTAAAGAGTTATTAAATCACCATAGCAGAAACCTAAGAATGATATGTATTTTTCTTAGTTTTTTTAAGACAAAAATAAAATATAATTTTTTTAAGATAATAATAATAATAATAATTATAGCATTTAATAAATATGTCATTATTTAATAAATATTAATTTAGCCAATGTCAATACACAGTAAAAGAAAAGAATATAAACAAAAATAATTTTTTTTATTAAATATCATATATATATATATATATATATATTATTTTAAATTGTAAATTTGTTTCGATCATATTGAGTTTTATTTTATGATTTTATAACTTTTAGTCGAATTTAAATAATTATGTAAAAAATATTTTAATTATAATTTTTTGTTAAAAAGTGTTAAATAATAAAATAATACTAAAAATAAATGATAGAAACAATAAGAAGAAGTGAAGTTAATAATATTTTAATAATAATTTTTTGTTAAACAGTGTTAAATAATAAAATAAGACTAAAAATAAACGATAGAAACAATAAGAAGAAGTGAAGTTTCTGATAGAAGTTTTTTCTATGTAACTTCCAAGATACGCTCAGGAAATTCATATCCACTCTCTACATATATAGATATAAATGAATGCCCCTTCATCATACATAACAGAATCAAAACATTGGGCATGGATTATATTTAAGCATCCAAACTCTAAACTTCACAATCGTTTACAATCTCACACTTCCAAGAGAATGAAGACATCAATGAAGTTTCTGCTTTGTTTTTCTCTGTTCTGTGTTTTCTTCTCTTCACTTCCTTTACTCCTTCAATCGGTGAAACCATTCCTCATGGACTTCTTTAGCTACATGGTTGAAAAGAGCTACATGTTCCTTCTTTGCAACGGCCTTCTTGCTTTAATAGCCATGAACTCCGGTCTAGTTTCTTCCTCTACACCACCACCAACTCATCAGAGCATAGAACAACATGTTGTAGTAGTTATTGAGAAAAGTATCCAGTTAGACTCCATGGATTCAGACATTGCAGTTGCAGCATCAATTGTAGGTGAGGAAACTGAATCCCGACAAGAAGAAGACAAAATTTTGGTGAGTATGGAACAAGAAAAGGTGGTATCACAACATATCCAGGAAGAAGAGGGAAATGCCCTTGCGATCATTGAAGAACATGAACACGACGTGGATACTGATGAGTTAAACAAAAAAATTGAGGATTTTATTAAAAGGATGAAAGCAACGTTCTGATAAGTTGGAGCTAAGAGCTGTGGATAGTTTTTATTTTGCTAATCAGAAATCACTGGTGCCTGTATTAAGTAGTTGTTTTGTTCTTCTTATTGATGATTTTAACCAAAATAAGGTGTCATAGTTTTCCATGTTTTTGGTACTCCTGGCTGCCCAGATTTTTGCCTGTGACACGGTTCTGTCAGACTAGGTTGTATGCTCTGTTCTATGTGTTGTGTTCCAATATGAAATGTCGAAAGGTTAAGCTCACTTCATTGATTCTTTTCACTATCAAATTTATTTTTTAATGGAGTGGAGATAGTCACTTGAGATTATCAGCTACTTATTAGTCATAGTCTTCTATTATATTTTCACTATCCCCTTTCTCACTTAATTAACTAAGAGATGGTATCTTATGTTTATTAATATTTTTCAAGTTAGAAATCTACCACATAACACAGATAAATTAAGTTTAATCTTTTTATTGTTCTTCTTATTATAGGTTTTTCCCACATTTTATATATTTTATTAAATTTATTTTAATATTTAATTTTAACAATTATAAATTTATAATTGTTTTGAATTGAACAGCAAAACCTGATTTGTATGGTAAAAATGGTACTAAAGTTCAAAATTGGATGGTTGATTGAAATCAATGTTTAGTGGGAAGATTCTTTAAATATACTTTAGTTAAAAACAAAATTATATTATAATATACTAACAATATATAAACTTAACAATGTTATTAGAATCCACTATCAATGGTAGTTAGGAAGTTGAATGAAGACTGGCTTTTAGGGATATCTAAACTATCTCACTTGTGTCAAGATTGAAGGATCTGATCCATGATTAAAGGCACTTTATGTAATGGCTCTATCTAATTCTTTAACTTGCTTTCTATGTATCAAAAGGTGTTGTGTATAAAGTTCAAATGAAAAACAGTTTTTAAATTTTTTTTCTCTTTTAATAAGGTTTAACTAATATCAATTTAATAAGTTTTTTTGAGGTAGAAATTGACTATGGTGGGCCAAAGTAGCTTGTTTTGTTGAACAATATTTCTTTTATATTCAACATTCAAATGTTGTCCAACTCAGCTTGTTACACTAATTTGACACGGTTTGCTAAAGATGACAAAAATTGTTTACTTGACCTGGGTAAGTCAAGTCGTTCTCAGAAACCCAGCAGAATCGGTCATTGCTTCGAAAGGGACACGGAGAGAAAAATTTCCACGAAAATCTCCTTCATTCATGACAACACATGTTGCTCTCAACTTTGTTCCTCAAACAAAATAATAATAATAAAAAATTATAGATAAATATATATATATATATATATATATATATATATATATATATAATAAATATATAATTTAGTCCGATCTCCCTACAAATAAATATTTGTCCAAACATTAAATAAATCGTAACTACTTTTTAAATACGAAGGAGATCCATCTACAAATATACTTTGATCCTTAAATTAGTAAATATATTTTTTCTTTCAAATTATAAATTTGTAAAAATGATAAAATTTATAATTTATAAATTTCTTTTTAGATATATTTTAAATAATAAAAAATATTTATTTAGTGCTAATAATTTATCTTTATTATATTATTAACACTATGTTAATTATTCCATTACGAAATTTGGTTGATACAAACTTCATTTTATTCTATTTATAAAGTGATAAACTTTTAAAGGCACGTTGATGTAGAAAAATAATAAAAGATTATGAAAAAAAATATTATTGGAACTAAGGTAAATGAAAGATGAGAGAAATATAAATTATATGGTTATATACATGAGAATACATGACCAAGGTTATGTTAAAACAAGAGCTGATTAATTAACTTGACTTATTCAATGTATTACAAACATTACTCTCCCTTAAGTCAAGTACTTGAGAGATACAACTTCAACTATTTTTCTCAAATATTCAAACCTCTCATTCTTTAAACTTTTGTGAAAACATCAGCCAACTTCATCTCAGTTTTGTAGTAAATCACTGCAATTCTTCCTTTATTCACCAAATCTCTAAGGAAGTGATACTTCACTTCTATATGTTTGCTCCTGCCATGACTCACTGCATTTCTTGATAAGTTTATGACAGCAATATTATCTATCTTCAGGATAGATAATATTTCTGTAATCTTTAGCTCTCTCAGTAATTCCTCAAGCCAAACTCCTTAACATATTGCTTAACTCCTAGCTATATACTCTGCTTCACAACTAGATAAAACTATTATCGGTTGTTTCTTCGAGCACCAGGAAACAAGAGCTAGCAGGAACACATATTTAGAGGTGCTCTTTTTCTCCACTAGATCACCACAATAATCAAAATCAACAAATTAAGTCAACTCTAACTTTGATTTTTGTCTCCCAATAAAAAATAACACTCCATAATTTGTTGTACCTTGAATGTATCTCAACAATCTCTTGACATTTAGCATATGAGACTTCTTCAGATTACCCATGAATCTACTAAATGATAAATCTGGCCTGCTGTTATAAAGATATCATATATAGCAAATGATTTGCTTGAAAATTGTTTTGTCTACAATCTCTCAAGACTTATCCTTTGTTAATTTCAAATTAACCTCAATAGGACTCATTGCTGCATTACATGAAACCATGTTAAATCTCCTAAATAATTCTCCAACATATTTCTTCTAATGCATTACTAGCCCTGCAACAATGTAAGTGAACTCCATGCCTAGAAAATAACTAAATTTTCCTAGATTTGTCATCTCGAATTAAGTTTCCATTATCTTCTTGAAGTCTTCAATGTCTTCTTTTAGGTTTGATCCAGTCACAAATATATCGTCAATATAAAGACAAATTATCAGCAGGTCTTCTCTTATGCCTTTCTTCACATGCACAAATGTTCAACAATACATTTTGTAAACTTGAGATTGAGTAACACATAATCAATCTTCTTATTCCAAGCTCTTGGAGCTTGCCTCAACCCGTATATAGCTTTTCTCAGTCTATAAATTTGATGTTCCCTTTCACAGCAAGTCTAGGAGGTTGTTGGACATACACCTCTTCCTCCAAAGGTTCATGTAGAAAATCTGATTTTACATCAAGCTAAAACAATGATTAATTTCTTACACAAGCCACTGCTATAACCAATAGAATGATTTCTATCCGAACCACTGATGCAAAAACTTTAGAAAAATATAGTCTTTGCAGTTGAAGAAAGTCTTTTGCCACAAGCCTTACTTTGTGCTTAGAGATTGAACCACCATGATTCAATTTCTGCTTTAAAACTCACTTCACTCCAATGTAATGCTTTCCAATTGGTAGATCAACTAGTTTCCAGGTTTCATTCTTCTTAATGGATTTGAGTTCCTCATGCATTGCATTTCTCTAAACTGACTGTTTTAAGGCTTCATTCTCATCAATAGGTTCTTCTCCTAACATTAGTGCCATGTGAACCAAATCTCCCTTATCATTAACTTGTCCATTAGAGTGCATCTCAAAATCAGAGAATCTATATGCATTACTCTTGGAACTAAAGTTAATGAAAGACAAGAGAAATATGTGTTGTATATTTCCTTCTTTATTGCATCATCAATGTAGTTTATATACATGAGAATACATGAGACAATGTTATGTTAAAACATAAACTGACTTATTCAATGTATTACAAACACTAATACTCCCCTTAAGTCAAGTACTTGAGAGATGAAACTCCAACTCTCTTCCTCAAATCTTTAAACCTCTCATTCTTCAAGATTTTTGTGAAAACATCAGTCAGTTACATCTCAATTTTGTAGTAAACCACTGTAATTCTTCCTTTATTCACCAATTCTCTAAGGAAGTTATATTTCACTTCTATATGTTTGCTCCTGCCATGACTCAATGATTTCTTGATAAGTTATGGCAGAAACATTATCTATCTTCAGCTGCATTGATGTTTTCACAGGGATCTTTTAACTCTTTCAACAATTCCTCAAGCCAACTCCCAGCTATATACTCTGCTTCACAACTGGATAGAGCTACTACTAGCTATTTCTTGGAGCACTAGGAAACAAGAGTATTATTTAGTAGGAACACAAATTCAAATGTGCTCTTTGTCTTCACTAGATCACCACAATAATCAGAGTCAGCAAATCCAGTTAACTCTAACTCTCATTTCTGCCTCCTAATAAGAAATAACACTCCATAATCTGTTGTGCCTTGAATGTATCTCAACAATATCTTGGCAGTTATCATATGAGACTTCTTCGGATTACCCATGAATCTGCTCACCAGTCTTACACTGAATGATAAACCTGACCTGCTGTTACAAAGATATCGTAAATAGCCAATGATTTGCTTGAAGATTGTCTCATCTACAACCTCTCCAGATTCATCCTTTGTTAATTTCAAATTAACCTCAATAGGACTCATTGTTGCATTGCATGAAACCATGTTGAATCTCCTGAACAATTCTCTAGCATATTTCTTCTGATGCATTATTAGCCCTATAGCAGTATAAGTGAACTCCATACCTAGGAAGTAACTTAGTTTTCCTAGATCTGTCATCTCAAATTTAACCTCCATTGTCTTCTTGAAGTCTTCAATGTCTTTTAGGTTTGATCCAAACACAAGTAGATCATCAACATAGAGACAACTTATTAACAAGTCTTCTTCTGTGCCTTTCTTCACATACACACCATGTTCAACAATACACTTTGTAAACTTGAGATTGAGTAAGAAGGAATCAATATTCTTATTCCAAGCTCTTGGAGCTTGGCTTAACCTGTATAGAGATTTCCTCAGTCTATAAACTTGATGTTCTGTTCCTTTCACAGCAAATTCAGGAGGTTGTTGGACATACACATCCTCTTCCAAAGGTCTATGTAGAAAAGCTGATTTTACATCAAGTTGAAACAGTGGCCAATTCCTTGCACAAGCCACAACTATAACCAACCAAATGGGTTCTATTCAAGCTACCGGTGCAAAGATTTTAGAAAAATCTAGTCCTTGTCGCTGAAGAAAGCCTTTTGTCACAAGTCTTGCTTTGCTTAGAGATTGAAC